TGTGTCTGCAGTTCGTTGTTTTCATTTCGTTTCGTGGCCTGGCCAAAGTTTTATTTATATTCAAGTAGTTGGGGTTCTGGGCGAGGGGCAGCCGTGTGTGGTGGCGAGGGGGCAGCTTATAAATAATTCAGACGGTGCCCTTATGCATGCTCCAGGCACAGGAACTAGCTCCAGGCCAAAACAGGCAACCCGAAGTCGCAATTTAACTTTGACAAGATCCATGTGAACCAAAAAACCCGGTTTGCAAACCAATAAACTAAGATCTCGATGCGGGTAAGAATGTAAATCAAGTGTGTTTAAAAAAATTCGAGTGTCAACTTTAGTGTCATAAATTAATAACAATATAGAATTTCTAATTATAATAATGTAATTAATGTAATAATTACATTATTAATGAATTTCTAATTGTAATAATGTAATGTAAATAAAGACTATACAATATTTACCTTAGTGTACATTTATTTGGGTAAGAAATATGAAGATGAAACCGGCAGTCACGATGATGTTAAGCTGATGTTCACCATCAGGTGAGACATGAGAAACATGCAATGGTTTGGTTATTAGAATGCCAAAATAAACTTTAGGAATTGAAATAGTACAATGTGTCAAAAAGTACCAAGCAGTCTATAGTTTTTACTTAGGAAGTGTATATTCATGAAGAACCCTGACTCACCGATGCTTATCTTCCGTTTCGGGTCTTTTAAAGCTGCGCATGCGCAGTTTTCGGTTAACCCAGATTCATACGATGTTCGTGTTTGGTTTTCGAATTGCGTGGCTTGTTGCATTTGTTGACTGGGCACAGAATTGGCGGCCTTTTGTCAGGTGAAAATTGAGGTGAAAGGCGTTTTGCGGGCTACTGTTCAGAGCGGAGGAAAAAGATTTACTTTCAGATTTGGCCCATTTGGTTGATGGGTGGATAAAAGTTGATTTTGTATTCATAAAGTGCTCCTCAGCAGGTGGTTGATGACTTAATTGTCTCGTTAAGATTGTTAAATACATATATGCTTGTTAGCGGGCAATTTTTATCAGCGATTTAAGCAATATAGTAACTCTTTGGGGATTTTCTAACCTTAGTTTCTTTAAAGAATATTATTTTATATTTTCTATTTATTTAAATATATTGCATTCATATGTCAAATCGTTCTCCCTATAAAATGTCCATATAAAAGCAATGCTTTATAGTTCCCATATCCATAAACATGCCAATAAATTCCACATGAATAATTTAAACTTCCTTTTGAAAAGTTGACTTTAAATACTTGGCCATTAATGTCATGGCAAAATGTTTTCAATTCAGAAACCCTCTTTTAAGGCCCAAAACAATTCAATTAAATTGTGATGAGTGTGTGCGTGTCGTTTTGACTGCAATTGAGTTTGCTTTCGTTTGTCGGGGTTTGTTTTGAATTTCTCCAACATTTAATTTCCTTTGCGCACCAAAAAACAATTGAATTTTTTTTTTATAATTCAATCAAGCACAGGCAGTAAACGCATTTTGTGAGGGGGAGACGAAAGACTTGCGCATGCATTTCCAATTTGTATTCGGCTGCAGTTCACAGCCCAAAATCGAAGCCGAGTCCCAAATCCGAATTCGAATCCGAATATCCCCAGCCGACGTCACCGTCTCTTCGTCTTGTTTATCAATTAGGCACACATTCGATTCGGTTTGATTTTTGTATTAGCAGGAATGCCTTTTCAATGCCTTCACCAAAGTGGAAATCCCCGCCTCTTTTGGCCACGCCTTTGGCTGCACTAATTTGTTTATGGCAGCGAGATTCTATTAATATTTTTAGTTTTGGGGGCCCCCGTTAAAGTGTTGGAAGTTTTACGACGGCATCCTAAGAAACTTTGCCCAAATTGAGTTTGGCATATCTTCTCGAGCCCCCGGCAGTCATAATTTAAAATATTTAAATGCCCGGGGCTATGATTGAAGAATGCAATGGCCCAACGACCACTTGAGAAGGTTTCACATTTTTCATCATTCAAATGGGAAGCTATAGAAATGGTTTTTGTTCCCCATTCTATTCCACTTTCAATGTGAAGTTCACTGTAAAAACTAAATGCTTTATACATTGGATTCATTCAATTTTTTTTATGGCACGCCAGCAGTTATTAATAAATTTTTTTGTGGCCCCCGTTGATTGTTATATGGAATTGGAAGAGGGTGAGGGTGGCAGGACGGAGACACATTTATTTATTAACCCCTCCCCTTCGACGTTTACCCCTTGGGGGTTGACAAGTGACAAATGCAGAGAAGATATAAAATTAAATGTGTGAGCCGAAATCAAAATCAGTTTCAAGCCTGCGGGCCCTGCCATCCCTGCCATCTACCACCCGGATGAAGATTCAAACAAATAAGTCCAAACAAACACATTTTATGGCACAGTGCCCAAAACATCCTTACCCACCAAACTCATCGCCATCATTCACATCATCATCGGCATATAAGGAACATCAAAGTACGCGGCGACATCAGTTCGTCAAAAAAATGAAAATAACTCGGCATCGGGTTGTAATTTGTTCCTTATTTTAGCCGGCGGAATCCATCATCACTCGATGCATGACCCGTGCGATGATGGACGGGTAGACGGTCTGGTTTACCCGTAGTTGTAAACCCTAATGCCATATGTTTGCCCCTGGCTCAAGACTCCGACTTGACTTGGTTTCAGTGTGTGATATTTTTCCATTTGTTGAAAGTTACACTGTCGAAAAAACAGTCATGAAAAAGGGCAACCAAAACATAATGTACATTTTTAGAAATCAAGTTCAATCATTTTTTTATAACTACTTAGCCCTACTTATAAGCTTACTTGTAAATAAGTTTGAGAACTACAAATTTTAACTACATTTTATGGTTCTCAGTGCATGATGAGAAATTATTCGTCTGCCTAGAGCTATCTATGCGTGGGTACTTCTCTTGTGTTCTAGTTTTAATGAGTTTCCACTCGTCGTAGTGTTTCATGACAACAGTCCTTGAGGCGCCTCCTGGCGCCAGTTGGCCAACAATCTGGTGTCATGCCGATGCCGATGCCTTGTCCTGAATTCTCGGATTGCCAGCAGACATGCATTCTTATGCATCGCTATCGCATTTTTTGCTGCTGCTTATCAGCTGAGAAACTCGACACCCACTTGTAGATACTTTTACAGCTTGAAGAAAGTTGCGCTGGAAAGAAAGTAGTTAACTCACATGAGCCGGAAAAACTTATTGATGCGTAGAAGGGGGCCTGGCCGTGTGGCTCATTAGTCATTTGAGCCAATCAATCACTCAAGTTTACTTTGGGTTAATTGTTTTCCGTAAACAATAAGCCAGAAATACCACCAAGCCCCCTGTTTCCATATGGTGATACATCCAGCAGATGCGTACGGAAGGGATACATTTGGGTCAGAGGGAATTTTCATTAGTCTGCCAGTCATTAGCTCTGTTTTATGATGTCTCACCCATTAAGTAGTTCCAGCCCCCATCCTTGTGGCGGTCACACCCTTTAGAAATCCAATCTACACATTCTGCTATTCTTGGAATTTAATTTTCTGTTCAATTTGCATGGAAATCATCTAAATAAACAAATCAATAGCCCGTCGAATTTATATGTGCAAAAATTAAATCGTTAATTCATGGCTTTAAATGATGGCCAAATTTAAGTTGATATATGGTTCTAACGAAGAAGTTATTGTAGAATCATTCAAAATTTTAAATTATTGTAAATTCATAATTTTTACTGTATTGTTTCTTCATTTACTTGCTTGGGACCCCAAAGAGATTTTTTGCCAGCCAAACACTAATATATAACGAAGCAAGGAGACATCATCAAAAAAGGAAACTTTTTCCAACAAAAAAACAAGGCAGAAATAATGTGTAAAAAAAGCATGTTTTTATATATAACACACTTTGCAAAAATTGATGGCCTCTTCATGATTTTGCGTTAAACGTCGGGCGTGGTAAAAATAAATACAACAGAATCTCGTTTTTTTGCTGTGGGTATTTTCAGCATTTTGTGACGCGTTGCGTCGTGTAAAGCAAAAAGCCCTGACGCGTGCGACATTTGGCGCTGGAGAGTGACTTTTGAGCATGAAAAAGGGAGCTGAAAAATTGAAGAGTTGTTTTTGGGGGGGGAAATGGCAAGGGTAACTTGGTCTACATGGTTTATTGTTTTCTTGTGTTGGCCCCAGGACTTGAGTGATTTCGCTTCTGGTGACTGCGTGCGTGTGCACTTTGCCACTTGTACAAACGTACACCATTGTGGCAAAGATTATAGCGTCGTGACTTTATAAAGTAAAAGTTTTCGAATTTTACCAGCAATAAGACTAATACAAAAACGAATTGAAGTTTTAAAGTAAGTACTTGCAATTTTAAATCAACAAACAAATAATATACTTAAAATGGCTTCAATTTGGGAGATGATTTCCAACGCCGTTTAAAAGTGCTGTGCTTTTAAGAGTTAGAATGTTAAAGTCTTATAAGGCTTATATGTTTAAAGTTATATTAAGCACTATTGACTTGACCGCTGCTGTTTTTCGCCCTGCATTCAAGTGCTAAGGGCATCTGTAGCTGTAAGATACATGCCAGGGTTGTCAGACATCTGCCCTCGTTGTCTGGCTGCTCGCATTAATTAGATGTGTTCTGTGCTTGTCCGAAAGTCTGTCCCGTATATATATAATATTATTTATGAACTTGCTAATTTTAGCACTGCCCCTGGCCTGAAAAGGCTCAAAAGCGAGATGAGTGATGCTCTGCGTCTTATCAGAGTATCTCAACATGCCCGCCAACATGTTGAATGATTATCAGAGCAAGGCATTCGCTTCGCCTTAATTTCGGGCTCAAGTTGTCAGCGTTTTGGATGCTTGGCGGCGTTGACTTTAAGCCTATTAGATACAGCACACTCCGCCGCAGAAATGCTTTGTTCACCTTGACGGGGGAGAAGGGGGCTCTAGGTGCGGCATGAGCAGTTTGTAATCAACAGCAATTACATCACCACAATGAACGCCTTTCTCGTCCTCTATTGCAGCGCACACCGCCGACCATTTACCCGTCCTCGACGAGTTCTCAACTCACACTGTGATACGACCGCAGGTGCAACATGAACGCACCAAGCGCAGCCTGCTAAGCACTCTGGATGCCACCGTAAGTAGCCAGGAACAGGGGTAAATCTTGGTAATTATGCTAAATGATGCACTACATGTGACATTATGTCATTATTATAACCATTTTCCCCCTTATCGTCAGGACAATTTTAAAAAACTAAGTCGTTCATTTAAATTATAGCTATTGTGTAAATAAATAACAAATTATTCAAATTATTAAGATATTGAGAGAACAAATTTGAAACACTTCGAGTTGTCTTGAGTTTTCTAGAATTCTACCTGAACATAAGCTACGTTTATACTACCAGCAGTGTCTGAAATGTCTCTAATTCTATTTTTCCGACTACATCTCACTACAATCCACATTTTGTTTGCTATGTGCACTATATATAAATATGTTAAACAATTTAAAATGAGTAGCCAATTACTCCCTACAAAAATTAAACTCATCAGACATTTCAACATTTTGAACAATTTACCATTTCCCCGGGCAGTAGGAAGGTAATACAAATTAACCCGAAAGTAAAGTTCCCAGCAACAGAAAAATATTCACGAAATGTATTTCATGCCTGAGGGGGAGAGAATGGGTAGAGTTCAGTGGGTGTGCTGGCCCAAAGCCAAACCCGTTTTAATTAGTTTCAACAAGCGGTCACCGCACACATGGGTGGTTTAGGGGAAGAGGTTTGGAAATGAAGGTAACTTCCTGCGGCGGGCAGGACGTTACACATTCGCACCTCGCCACTTTGTCACGCCCACAATTTGCATGCGAAAATGAAATAAATGGGGTCGCGGTCAGACTGATATGGCTTAATCTTGTTAACGTTATCTTCCTGCTCTCCTGCCCTCCAGGACGGCCTTCACACGCCGCACATTAGCCTGAGCTACACCCACGAGGGCAAGCGGGTCACCATCGACCTGCAGCGCAACGATCGCCTGCTGCCGGACTCCCACTTCCTGCGATATCAGAACTCCTCCGGCGGACCACACACCGCTGGCCATGTGGTTCGCAACTTTACCAAGACTGAGGTTGATTTATGCCACTATCAGGTATGTTAAAAAAAATTAAAAAAAAACAAGAAAGAAAGCAAACTTTGCCAAGCCGAAGTTCATATACCCTTGCAGCTATTGCATGAATTAAATACTTTTGAAAACATTTAAATTATGATTTACTTGAGTATATGCTGAAAAACATTGAAACTATGATGATTTGCAGCTCAATTATTAGATAGTTATTTTATATATTTTTATTATTTCTATGGGAGCTATATGCTATAGACGTCCGATTTTGATAAAATTTAAACCATAATTTTGAAATAATTAAACATTGCTGAACTAAACAAAAAATTAAAAAACAGAAAAGTTATAATTTTTTTTTCATTTATTTTTCCGATTGTTCCTATGGGAGCTATATGCTATAGTCGTCCGATTTTGATGAAATTTAAAACATAATTCTGAAATATTTAACCATTACTATATCTCGAAGAACTAAACAAAAAATTAAAAAACAGCAAAGTTATAATTTTTTTTCATTTATTTTTCCGATTGTTCCTATGGGAGCTATATGCTATAGTCGACCGATTTTGATGAAATTTAAAACGTAAATCGGAAATATTTAACCATTACTATATGTCGAAGAACTAAACAAAAAATTAACAAACAGCAAAGTTATAATTTTTTTTCATTTATTTTTCCGATTGTTCCTATGGGAGCTATATGCTATAGTTGTCCGATCCGGCTCGTTCCGACTTATATACTACCTGCAATAGAAAGACAACTTTTGGGAAAGTTTCATGCAGATAGCTTTAAAACTGAGAGACTAGTTTGCATATAAACGGACGGACAGACGGACAGACGGACAGACGGACAGACGGACAGACGGACGGACAGACGGACGGACAGACGGACAGACGGACATGGCTAGATCGACTCGCCTAGTGATGCTGATCAAGAATATATATACTTTATAGGGTCGGAAACGTCTCCTTCACTGCGTTGCAAACTTCTGACTGAAATTATAATACCCTCTGCAAGGGTATAAAAAGTTAAAGAACTCAAACAGAAACATAAAAATATAGAAGTAAAGATGTATATTTCTTAGAAATGTTTATTTTGTTAATAATAAATTAAAAACATTTCGACATTCAACAAATAGTCGTGTATTTTAAATCTTTGATTTCCGATTTAAATTGCATTTTATCAAACTTCATTCACGTGTTTATATTTTAAATTAAGTAAAGCTGTTCCCTAAGTGTTCTTAGATCTCCTAAACTGTGTAATAATTTCCCATTTTATTTGATTACGCCATCCAGGGACACATTCGAGGTCAACCGGATTCTGTGGTAGCCCTCTCCACCTGCGATGGTGCTTTGGATGGCATCGTTTTCGATGGAAGGCAAACGTACTTTATCCATCCACATGTGCACGGCAAGGGACGATTGCAGGATGACCATTATCTGCTCAGGTAAGTTGGAACATGCTTCTCCCCGTAAATTAGGTTAGAACTTTAAAAGAAAGACGGAAATAGCAGATGATTTAAATGAACTAAATCATACAAACAAATTAATAGTATTTAAATAACTTAATTTAGATGAGTTGAAATTGCCGTAATAAAAACGTAATGATTAGTTTAAATACAGACCCCTTGATGAGTTCGGCTGGTGATAACCAAGTAATCGAAGTTTATGGTGTCTCCGCCTGGACTTATGATACCGATCGAGTCATGATTCTCCTTTCCAAACGGCGCTTATCTTATCGAGAGTTTCTAACCTATTTCGACCCGAGCGAAATACTGTTTACCGACTTGTCATAAGTGTAAGGGCAGTCGGGCAAATATTTTGAGGTTCAGGGGCCGGACGGTAGGGGTTTGTTGGCCAAATGTTTACCTATTTGTGGGCCACAAATATTTACTTTTTCGGGTATATTTGCCCGAATGCCGAAACCAGAACGAAACCCCGAAACGCAACCAAAACCGACCTACTCATTCATTATGTTTATGCGCCACCGTCACTTCCGTTATTAATTTCTTTTGTTGGCCACGGAAATATCAAATTACCTTCGATTTGTTCTTCGCAGACAGGCGGACATGCATCCAACGAACGCCACCTGTGGCTACGAAAGCCACAGGGACGACCACAGTCACGACCACGAAAATGGACTAGGAGCGGAGATTCCATCACTGCCACTCCGCCTGGATGGCGGAGAATTCGGGAGGACACTGCTCCGGAAGAGGCGGCAAGCGGACGACAGCAGTCAACTGATCCGGGGACCGTACAATGCCAACAAATACTCCAGCTACGTGGAGCTGGTCATCGTGGTGGACAACAAGGTGTACAAGAACTTTCAGGAGAGTGCCAAGAAAGTGCACCAGCACTGCAAGAATCTGGCCAACATTATCAATGCGGTGAGTAAATGTGGAAATGTGTTTGTAAAAAATGCATTAAAATATAAATTAATCAGTACTTCCATAGTTAAACTCCTGTCTTTTCCCATCAAGAATCATAAACTAACTAATTTTTTCTATCAAAATTGTAGCTCTATGTCCCCCTGAATATATTTGTGGCTCTGGTGGGCGTTGTGATCTGGAACGAGTCCAACGAGATAGAGTTCTCCGTGGATGGCGACGTGACGCTGCGCAATTTCCTGAACTACCGCAGCACCAAACTGGTGCTGGAGCATCCCAACGACAATGCCCAGCTGCTGACCAAGGAGACCTTCACCGGAGGCGTGGTGGGCAAGGCATTGAAGGGTCCCATCTGCACGTACGAGTACTCCGGCGGAGTGAGCATGCAGCACAGCCCCAACACGGCGATGGTGGCCACCACAATGGCCCACGAGATGGGCCACAACTTTGGCATGGAGCACGATTCGCCGGACTGCCATTGTCCGGACGAGAAGTGTGTGATGGCGGCCTCGAGTACCTCGTTCATTCCGGTCAACTGGAGCAGCTGCAGCATCGACCAGCTCACGATAGCCTTCTCGCGCGGAATGAACTACTGTCTGAGAAACAAGCCGGAAAGGTTGTTCGAGTCGCCCACCTGTGGCAACGGTTTCGTGGAGCCCGGCGAACAGTGCGATTGCGGGCTGCCGGAGCATTGTGAGAATGCCTGTTGCAATGCCCAAACCTGCATGCTGCACGCGAACGCCTCCTGTGCCACCGGGGAGTGCTGCGATCTGACCACCTGCCTGCCCAAATTGGCGGGCAGTGCCTGCCGGACGGCGGAGAACGAGTGCGATTTGCCGGAGTACTGCACGGGGGAGTCCGAGTACTGTCCGGCGGATGTCTTCCGGCGGGACACGGAGCCCTGTGATGGCGGGCAAGCCTACTGCTTCCACGGCACTTGTCGCTCGCACTCCAAACAGTGCCGGACGTTGTGGGGACCCACGGGCGAAAACTCGGAGCACTGCTACTACAAAAACACGGAGGGAAGCCGACTGGGAAACTGCGGCTACAATCGCCTAAACAAGACCTATTTGCCGTGCGAGAAGGAGCATGTCAACTGTGGAATGCTGCACTGCATCCACCTGAACGAACGACTCGAGTTCGGAATGGAGTCGGCGGCCGTGTTGTCCCACTCCTACGTCAGCCACAAACAAAAGATTGTGGCCTGCCGCACCGCGCTGGTGGACCTGGGCCTGCAGACCACCGATCCCGGCCTGACGCCCAATGGAGCCAAGTGCGGCGACGATAAGATGTGCGTGGACCAGCGGTGCCTGCCCGTGGAGGTGGTTCGCCAGAAGGGCATGGGTACGCCGTGTCCAAACGACTGCTCGGGCAACGGCATCTGCAACAGTCGAGGACATTGCCACTGCGATGTTGGTTTCGGCGGAGAGTCGTGCTCGAAGGCGGGTTCGGGAGGATCCCCGGACAGTGGACCAGCCACAGATCCGAATGGTGAGCTAGGAATACTAAATCCAGGGTTTACCGGTTTACTTAAAGCCAATCTCTTCTTTTGTTTAGGTTCTGTTGTACTCAAGCGCTTCCTGTACGTGCTGTTCTTCATCGTGCTGCCCATGGTGGGCGGCTTCTGGTTGATCTATCAGTGCTACAAGAACGGAATCTTCACCCAAGGAAAACTGGCCGACAATATGTATGTATCGACCTCCTCCTTCAGCATCGGCTCCAATAAGAGCAGCAGCCCCGACAGCAGCATTACCACCCACTTAGCAGCCCCACAGACCCTTGCACGCACTGCACCACCACCACCCCCACCAGTCCGCACTAACCACCAGTCAGCTGCCGCAGCGGCTGCAACTAACACGGCTTCGGCCACCATTACTAACATACACGCCATCCTGCCGCGCCACAAGTCCAATCCGGATGCAGTGCATCAGGTTCACATCCAGCCGCCCTCTGTGCCCAAGAGCCAGAGCAGCTACGAAGTGCGACGCAAGGCACTGCCGCACTGCCCCCACTCCCCCACCCTCTCCTCCTCCCCCTCCCCCAATAACAACAACACTGAGTCACTTAATAAGAATGACAAGGGCAACACGCACAACAGCACACTGAGACGAAAGCTGGATATCACGGCTCCAAAGCTACATGCCACCACAAACCCACTGGCACTCACCGAGGGCGCCCAGTTTATACAGAGCGACCCCGCGAGGTGCGCCAAAAACTAAGCCATAAATTAACCACAGTGAAACACGCTTGCACTGCCACCAAATACTGCATGACTTTGCCAAAGGCGTTTCAGTATCCTTGCAGAATTTTAGAGTAACATAGATTCAAAGTTAAAAAGAAAATCCTTTAAAAAATATTTTTGAGCTTATCTTGCAAACTTAAATACTCAATATAAATTGAAAAGATTCATTACTGTTAAGCCAAGAAATATATCTATAATTTTCTTTAACATTAATTAGTTTTTTGTAAATAGTTTGAAAATGTCCAATCAAAAGCCAAGCGAATAATAACCTATATATACATTTTAAATAAGTTTAAAATTCATAAAACTAAGGATCTGAAAAATGTCATTGCTTATAAAACAATGTAAGGTCAAACTATTGTATTTTATTCAGAATATTAGTAAGAAACAACTCAAGACAGAGCAAGAATATAAATATAAATGAAAGATAACATTAATTAGGGTAATCAGATATTCGTCTTAAAAAACCTGCAGGGATATATTGCAAATTCGGAGAACCGAAGAAATCTTTTTTTGTTCATTTTAACACACTTGAGCTGATGCTACATAAAATTAAAACACATAACCCCCAACGTCTACTAACACAGCCCTTATTTGATGTTTGTTTCTAGATTTAGTTGTCTTGATTTTGTGTGTTTTCCAATAAATGTTTTGCTATAACTTTTGGTGTTGGCTTCATATTTGTCTTGCTATTTGTATGTGTTTACTTTTCTTTAAGCTATGTTTTACTATCCTAGCAATATGGTGTTTGGTTTATGCACGTCTTTCGATTGGTATGTTACACAAAAACACTTTAAAAGCCTTATCCTCTAAAAGTGTCTTCCTTATGTTAAACTCTATGATTGAATGTCCTTGCAGTTTGAAATCCTCGGGCGGAAGCAAACCAATAACAACGAGAAGCAACCAAAATGGCAGTGGTCCACCAACTGGAAACGGATTACTCAAATCCACACCTAGTAGTACTGATGACATGGACTCGGCGCTCCTAAAATCCCCAAGTGACTCCGCACCCACCGCTGGACTATTTGGCAAATTCGATGGTTTTACTCTGCGTCCATTGAACGACGCCTCTTCGCCGGCCAGCAACTACAGTGGGCCGAATGTGGCCTTTGTGCAACCCACTGTGCAGCAGGATGGACCACAGCGGGTGGCACCTCCTCCGCCGGCTGTCAAGGCGGGAACGACCCCGAATCCTGCCCCCTCCGCTCCAAAACCAGAAGTCACTTGGGTGAGGCCAGCACCTGCTCTGCCGCCGCCCAACCCGGGCTCCACGGCGCGTCCCATCATCTCTCCCCCCAAACTGGACTCCAGTACAATAACCATGGTGCCGCTCAAGGGCAGCACGGAGGATCTCTCGCCCACTCGGTCTGCACCAGCTCCCCCAGTTCCGCTGCACGCCGATCCCAAGCTGAATGTTAAACGAGATGGCACCATTCGTCGCTTTGCTTCGTTCCTCAAAAAGGAGGAGAAGGCGCCGCTTAAGGAAAAGACATACATCAACAGGGAGCGGCTGCGAACTCTGGAAATTTCCGCTCCCATGCCTGTGCCCGCTGCTCCCCAAACGGAGTCCTCCAATTCGGATTCGGAGACCACGCCCCGCGAAGAGGAGACCCAGAATCTGGTAAAACGCGCCCAGTCCATGCGCTCCCCCACGAAAAAGACATCGGTGCAGAGCTTCGGATCCATGCGTTCACCTCCGGGATTGCCACGCCCCAAAAGTGGCCAGGTGAACAGCAGTGGCACCTCGAGACCCAAGTCACCGCCACCCAGGCCTCCACCAGTGGTGCTCAAGAAAACCAACTCCATTAGCTCCTCCGGCTATCAGCGACCAGTGGCCACGGCCCAGAGATCGGTGGAGAACACCTACGACGACTGCGAGTTCGTGGAGAACGAGGTTCGAGCCTCCAACGACGACATATACTCGGTAATTGATGAGATTCCACCAGCGGCACAGACCCTCAAGCGGAGCGATCTGGTGGCCAGCAGGGCCAGCAATGGTAGCGATATGGGATTACTAAACGAAATAGTTAATGAACTAGAGAAGATCAACGGTGATTCGATATATTCGGGGAAGCCCGTAGCTGCAGCAGCTTCGCCAGCTCCTGCAGATCCCCCTCAGAGTCCCCAGCGACCTGCTCCACCCAAGCCAGCGAGCAGTGTGCTGGAGGAGAAGGCAGCCAATGCATCTGCATCGAGCACATATCATCGCCCGCCGCCAGTCAATGCGCCCGTGGCTCGGGTCAAGCCCACGGTGGCGGACAAGTCGCAGCCGCTGCCCAGCATGTCCAGCTTTAAGCCGCCGGCGGGAACCGGCGGTCAGGCCCAGCCAGCGCCTGTTGTCCAGCTGGCCAAGCGGAGCAGCAGCGGCAGCATCAGCGGAGTGGCCAACTCCACCCGTCCCAAGTCCTTCATGAAGAGCACAACGAAAGCACTGCCCAACGGGTCGGCAGGGGCGGCAGTCACTGCGCCCTCGGCCACCATCCAGAAGCCCAAGCCGCTCTCGGCCAAGCCATCGTTTAGCGGCGGAGTAGGTGTGGGAGCAGGTGGTGTCCTGGGAAAGCGGGCCAACGGAGGGGCTGCCCCCACACCACCCACAGTGAAGGCGGCGTCGGCGGTGTCGGCGGCGCCAAAGTCCAACATTGCATCGCTGACACAGCGATTCGAGCAGAGCAAGTAGATTAAGTAAAACTATGATAAGAAGCTTGATCCGGGGCATAGCGAGTAATACTCAATGGAAAGAAACGAACAAGGGTAAACGTTCATCAGGTTTTTGAAAACTGTTCATTAGCCTTACCAATTTGTACTCATTTAACTCCTATTTATTACAACTTTCGATATTTTTAAATTACTTAAGAAAGGTTAGAACAAATGATTCGATATTTAAGTACTACGGTTTGATTTACGATATAATGTAAGATGTTACACACTACAATGCCTTTTTGGAAAAATTAGGAAAAAACTTAAGCTTAAATTCTCTGCCATTTTGCGATTCTTTGCTATGCTCTTGGTCTGGCTAAATCCCCATCCTCCGTGGAATTGACTTAAGCTTTAGTTAAGATACGATCAAATTTTATTTGGCACTGACTATGACTACGACTGCGTCGCCTTTGATATTCATTCCTTTACCGATATCCCACTTGTTAGACGTAAGTCGTTGCTTAACCCATGTGCTAAGTATGTATCTCAATGGTTAATGTTTATTTATATTTTAGCCCCTAACGATAGTTTCGTACGCGTATCTGTATCTAGACTTTACTCTACAGTAATCCCATGTATTTATGTATATGTTTATACGCAATATGCTTTTGTAAATAAAAACCAAAGATGTTAAATTGTCACAACAAATACGCCGATTCGAAGTAATAAATTAAAAGATATTGAAATGGTGGGTATATAGAAAAGTAATTAGAGAAGCGTTTCAGTAGCCAAGTCAATTTAAATTGTCTAAATGTTGCAAAAAATTATGTTATACCCCATATGTAAGAACGATATCACAATGTGTATAGAACGAAGGTCATGCAAAAAATATATATATGTTTAACTAAATTAAAGATAATAGTATTTGCTTGGGAGTTTTTGAGTATCGGGTAGAATGGACCTGCTGCCAGCCAGCACTAATAACAGAAATCACGTTTTCAATTTTGGAGTATTGTTATTTATTTTTATTTTTGTTATTATATTATTTTTTTCTTTTTTTTTTTATAAAATTGTAAGCTGAGTAACGGGTATCTAATAGTTTTCTTTAATCCATAATTAAAAAAACTATTTTTTACGAATGTTTTTGAACTAAGGATAACAATCAAACTATAATTGAACCTTGCGCTTGCGCTTTTCTTTCGAAGTTCCTTGAGGAGTGGAAGTGGACAAGGCCTGGTCCTCAGAAAAATCGGATGGGAGGATTTCGGATTGAGAGATAACTTCCTTGCCAGCCACCAGTTTCTTGACCGCCTTCACTTTCGGCCTGGTCGCCTTGGGCTGTGCCAGAGTTCCGATAGATTTTCGCGGTTTTTTCGACTTTCCCACCTCGGACGATTCCGATTTTCTCTTAGCGCTGGGTTTAGCTGCCTTTTTGGCCACTCCTGTGGCCGCGGCTTCTGGAGTTTCCAACATAGCCTGTGCAGCAGCTGCGGCGGCCGCTTTCGACTTTGGAGGCTTTGCTGCTCCCTCGGCTTTCTTCTTCTTTCCGGGCTGTAGGTTAAATAATGTAAGTGTTGAATTTTTTTATAATTTTAAATTTTTAAGTTTTTAAGAAGCAACACATTTTAAAATAAACTCTTTCAATGACAAAATCGTTAGCTTTCTAAGAAAATCACAAACTTAATTTAGTTACTTTTAAAAAATAAAAAAGGTATATTAATTTGCAAGACAAAAATAAACGTATACAAATTTTAGAACTTCATTACCAATTAATTGAACTTACTTCTTTTGCTTATAAAATTCGAATTAAAATTACATAAGAAAGCTTTTAACTTTTACACTTTTTAGTTTCACATTTTTTAAAGTTAAAAAAAGAAATCATCACAACTAACAGGAACTTACTTCCTTCGTTTTTCGTTCGGATGGCTTGTTGGCTTTCTCCTTCTTAGCTTTCTTTTCCTTGGCCTTGACCTTGGCCTCTTTCTTTTCGGCCTTCTCCTTTTCAAGCTTTTCGGCCTTTGCCTTCTTCACCTTTTCCTTCTGCTTTTGAGCCTTCATTTTTTCCTCAGCCTTGGAGGAGCTCTTGTACTTGTCGGTGAGTTTGAAGGATCGCTTCACCATAACCACCTCGCCATTGGTCTCGGCAACTTTGAGGGCCCGATACATAATGCGAGCGGTTTTCTTTGGATCCTTCCACTCTTGACCATTTTCCTTGAGATATGCCATGATGGCCTGAACCGATGATCCAGAACGACTCGACAGCTTTCCGATGGCCATGAGTGCTAGGGATTGGAGCGAGCTCTTGGCGGCACTCTTTTTAACCAACTTATTTTTGCCGGAATCGGGTGACGCCATTTTTGAACCATCATCGGGTGGTGGAGTAGGATAGGGATGTCGGGTAGCTTTCATATTATCGGACTCCGCCAAGACTCCATCCGACTGCTCCTCCTCCTCCTCCTCATCCTCCTCCACTTCCTCATCTTCTTCGCCTACATCGGATTCGTTATGATCAGACTGCATCTCCTCTTCGCCCTCGTCGTCCGAGCTGTCAATATGATCTAGCATCTCCAGTTTCATGGCAGCGGTTGGGATTTAGTTAAACAAAAAAATTAATACCTAACAATTTTTAAGACGGGACCACGACACTAGAACTTCTTAACACGCAGAGTTACAACAAGTAAATGAAATCGCCGACCAAGCACATGCCTAAAATCCATTGGAAAAAACGGTAAAAAAAGTTATATTTAGTGAAGACAAAATCCAAAAAGTTTTATCTAGAAGAGGTAAACTCTGTTCTTGAAAGTACGATGCACGACGATTAAAGAGATCTATTTTTTTTATAAATTGTTGTGAAAACAGAGACTTTTCTTTCAACTACTCACGGACTTCCCGGGAAAATAAAAAACATTTTTTTTTTTAATACAAATATGATTAAAAGGCTGATCAAAAACATGATAGGTGCGCTGTGAAAGTGTTTAGCAAATTTATCTGAAATTTTAAAGAATATCTTAATTGTGCAGAAATATTCTTGTGCATACACTTTCCAACAATATTAAAATGTTTCAAAATATAATATCGATGTTTATAAATTTAAGCCACAGACAAAACCCGATTATTTTGACAAAAATTATCGATAAGTTGATATTTTGGTATATTTTTCACATCCCTAGTGTCCACGTCTGTCAAAAGTTGCATGCCAACCAAAAGTTGAAAGTTTAAAGACATTTACCACCCACGAGTCTGCTGAGCAAAGAGGATGTCAAAGGACGCCAATCCCAGGGAGGCGCTTATCAAGGCGGCCTACGCCGATGTGCACAAGTTTGGCAATAACCGCGAGTTCGACAAGGCGGTCAAGGCGGTGAATCGCAGTAAGTTTTGGGATGTTTTGGAGTGGTACCCCTCGTATGACCCATTTCATGTTCTCCCGTAGTCCTGGGCGTGGCTCCTGATGATCCCACGGCCCTGCACTGCAAGGTCGTGTGCCTGGTGCAGCTGTCCAAGTTCGAGGAGGCCTACAAGTTCATCGAGAAGAATCGCCTGTCCTCGTTGGTCTTCGAGAAGGCCTACTGCGAGTACCGCCTGAATAAGCAGCAGCAGGCGCTGAAGACCATCGATGATGCGGGCCTGCAGCCCCTGCCTGAGAACCTCAAGGAGTTGCGCACGCAGGTCCTGTACCGCCTTGAGCGCTACGATGAGTGTCTGGACTCCTACCGCGACATCATCAAGAACACCAGCGACGAGTACGAGGACGAGCGGCGCACCAATCTGAGCGCAGTTGCCGCCAATCTGGCCGTGGACCAGGCCAAGGAGGTGCCCCAGGTGCCGGAGGACACCTACGAGCAGTACTTCAACAGTGCCTGCATCCAGGCCAATCGGCAGAAGTATGCCGAGGCCGAGAGGAAGCTGCGCACCAGCGAGAAGCTGTGCCGCGAGTTCCTCGAGGAGGAGGGCGCCTCCGAGGAGGAGATCCTCGAGGAGGTGGACGTCATCCGCGTCCAGCTGGCCTACGTCCTGCAGCTGCAGGGCAAGACCAAGGAGGCGGGCATCATCTACGCGGAATGCCTGCGCCACAAGCCCAAGGACGTGGCCCTGGTGGCTGTGGCCAGCAACAACTCTGTGGTGATCAACAAGGATCAGAATGTCTTCGACTCCAAGAAGAAGATCCGTGCCGCCCTGGCCGATGCGTGCGAGCCGAAGCTTACTTCGCGCCAAAAGCAAGTCATCGCTGTCAACAACTGTCTGCTGGCCCTCTACACCAACGCCGGCGACCAAGTGCAGCAGCTTAGCCAGAAGTTGGCCCAGAGCTACCCCCAGGTGGAGTTCGAGGCGCTGCTCATCCGCTGCAGCCAGCTGGCCAAGGATCGCAAACACAAGGAGGCCATCGATCAACTGCAGAAGTTCGCTGCCGCCAACAAATCCCATGCCTTCGTCAGCAAGTTTGCCGTCATCCAATTGCAACTGCTTCAGGTACATTTTTTTAATCTAATTTAAAGCTATCCCTAAAAGGAATATCTCATCCTCAATTTTATTTTGCCCTTTTAGGGCAACCGCAAAGATGCCATCGAGACATTGCTGTCACTGGGTGAGGCCAAGTACAAGCCTGGCGTCGTTTCCGCCCTGGTGTCCCTTTACCTGGGCACGGACAACAAGACAGCGGCCTCGGCGCTGCTGAAGTCAGCCGTGGACTGGTACAAGAAGAACAACGTGAGCAGTGGTGATTTGTCGGATATGTGGCGCCAGGCGGCCGAGTTCCATTTGCGCGGCGGAGCCTCCGAAACGGCAGCCAGCTCTTTGGAAGAGCTGCTGAAGTTGAACGCCAACGACACAAAGGTGCTGGCCCAGCTGGTCATTGCCTACGCCCAGTTTCAGCCGAAGCGGGCGCTCGAACTCAGCAGAAAGCTGCCCAAGTTGGAGACACTTACCACGGCATCCGAAATCGATGCCCTGGAGGCGGCCAACTGGGTGATGTCAGCCAAGGCGGCCAAGAAGTCTGCCAATGCCAAGATCGAACCCTCACCGAGCACCCCCATAGAGAAGAGAAAGAACCAGAATCGGAAACGAAAGGGCAAGCTGCCCAAGAACTACAACGCCGAAGTGGCTCCTGATCCGGAGCGCTGGTTGCCCAAGTATGAGCGCACTGGTTTCCGGAAGAAGCGAGGTGGAGCGCGTGGCAAGGATGTCATCAAGGGATCACAGGGCATGGCATCGGGAGCAGCCGATCAATAGTGAGCATATTATAAAATGAAATGTCTAGATTATTTCTCTAACCTAAACTTGCCCTTACAGCGACATGTCCAACCGCGTCAATCTGAGCAAGAACTCCCCCGCCACGCCCGTTTACCAGGAGACGACCCCCGGACCAAGGCAGCAGCACCGCAAAGGTGGCCACAAGAAGAAGAAGGGCGGCCGCTTCTAGGTCAATACAGACCTAAGGAAATGCTTTTATACTTTTGAACGATAATTATACAAACCGCCTTTGCATGTTATTTAGTTGTCTAATATGTGCACTTATTGGGCGGGTTTGTGTAAAGCAACAGAAAAATATATAATTCGTTTTTAAGTAATCAATAACCAATTGTTATTGATAGAATTTATGTTTTTTTTACATAATAAAAAGAAATTTAAGATCAAAGGTATATTGCAGCAACTGCTTGTTTATTACAAAGTTTAGCGTTGATGATATTTTGTACAAAAATTAAACATTAGAATCCAACATTTGTTTGCTTTTAACTATCCACAAAAATCAACGCAAAATCATTCATCATTGTCATCATCACCAGCCTTACTCCGCTTGCCATCCGTTGGCGCTGGAGGAGCGTCATCCTTTCGCGTGTCGTACGAGTAGTAATGCAACGTTCCTATCCAGTCGAGCATGTTGCGCTGCTCGGCCTCCGTTTTGTAAATCTGGCTAAAGATCTCCCGCTCGACGAACTCCTGCACTTGCGTCTCCTGCGCCTGCCACGTCAGTGGATTGTGTATGCCATCCTTGCCATAGCGATCGTTGTAGCGTTCATAGTGTACCGTGTCCAGTACTAGACCCAGTCCAGGGGCCATGGGCAGGTCCAGGCGCTCCTCCGTCAGTGCCCGCTCCAAACTTGTCGTCGTCGTGTTGCCCCTCACAATGGCAATGGCCAGACCCACCATCTTGCGGATCTGGTGGAGCATGAAGCTCTGACCCTTCACTTTCAGGGTGACGAACTCAATGCCCTGAGGACTCTGAAATGGTTCGCTGCTTGTGAAGGACATGATGAACCGCTTGGAAGAGGGATCCAGGAAGCTTCTGCAAGGGTTTCAAGTTAATCAAAGGTTAATTAAACTCAACGAAGAATTACAAATCTGATTGCTTTACTTTTTGCTGGTGAAGTTGTGAAAGTTCTTAGTGCCCTCGTAGAGTTTCAGGGTATCCTTGACTTTCTCCAGCAGCTCTGGTGAAATGCGAAACGTGTCATGCAAATCCTCGACCTTTTCTTCGCAGGAAGCAAAGGCAACAGTGGGCAGTGTGTAGGTGTAAGTTCGGGCATTGCACTGATCCTTGGCATTAAAGCCCTTGGTCACACGCTCCACGCCAAACAGTCGAATCTGCTCAGGCAAATCGGCATTGAAGGCCTCCAGGTCCAGCTCCTCAGCTAGATATAGATTTTGATTAATGTTTTTAAAAGTGTTCAAGTGATTGGGCTATTTCACATAAAATTTGTACCCAAACCATTAATCTATAAGTATAGTATGTTCTGCAAATTGGTGGTTGAAAGTTGGAGAACTATGTTCAAAAAATTGAATTATAAAGCTGCTATCATATTTGGTAAATCGATCAATGGGAACAAGAAATACACCTTATTGTTTTACTTCCACCAGACTTTAGGTATAAGTATTTTACTATAAACTATACAAATAGTTGCGAAACCAAGGAACCCTATAAAAATGGACCCCCCAAACTCACGCAGCTTGACGGAGCACACTTGACGGGCGGCGGAGACGCCTTTGTCGGTGCGAGCAGCACGCTGGAAGCAGGCGATCTGCACCTGCTCGAAACTGTCCTCCGTGATCCACTTGTGCTTGAGCATGGCCTTGAATAGCTCCTCCTCGATGGTCTGCATGCCGGGATTGCGCTGCATGCCGTAGTAGTTGGCCCCGCAGTAGCTGAGCAGGATGGCGCTCTTCTTGCGCTTGATCCGTTCGGCGGGATCAAAGGGCGCCCGCTTCACCCCGCTGGCCGCATCCTGCGCGTCCTGCTCCTTCCAGTCCACCCACTTTTTGCGCTTCAGTGTCCGCTTGATGCGGTTGGCATCCTTGACAGCCTCGTCCTCCAAGTTTTTTGCCTCCTTTCTGGCCTCTTTTTCCAGCTCCAGCTTGTCCAGAGCCTCCGACATGGCCGCAGCAAAGGATTTGTGTCGATTCCAGGAGTTACTGAGCGTTTTCAGGCGTACTGTTAGGAATGAAAAATCGAATTAGCTTGGGTTTGGGGGTTAGAGTGTTAATAATTAACCTGCCTTGGTGTTGCTGTTTAATAACCGGCTTAAAAACATCGAATAAACAAATCACAAAGTCGATGCAGAGGAATTCCCACACGTGTGTTGGTAGCTCTTCTTCTTGCTCTGCTACAGCTCAGCTGTTTCATGGAAAAACGGTAACTTTTTCTTGAATTGTTTTCATTTGGAAACCATATGGTCACTATTGAAAGATATTTCATTTTTCTGCTGTCTTGTATTTACTTAC